TATATATATATCATATGTATCTCTCTCTCTCTCTCTCTCTCTCTCTCTATATATATATATATATATATATATATATATATATATATATATATATATATATATCATATATGTATATATATATCATATATATATATCATATATATATATCATATATATATATATATATATATATATATATATATATATATATATATATATATATATATATATATATCATATATGTATATATATATCATATATATATATCATATATATATATATATATATATATATATATATATATATATCATACATATATATGTATCATGCATATATATATCATATATATATATATATATATATATATATATATATATATATATATATATATATATATATATATAATATATATATATATATCATATATGTATATATATGATATATATATATATATATATATATATATATATATATATATATATATATATGTATATATGATATATATATATATATACATATATATATATATATATATATATATATATATATATATGTATATATGATATATATATATATATACATATATATATATATATATATATATATATATATATATATATATATATATATAAGTATGTGTGTGTGTGTATATATATGTATATATATATATTTTTTTCTTCTGACAGCCATTCATTCCACTGCAGGACATAGGCCTCTTTCAATTCACTATTGAGAGATTATATGGCAGTGTCACTCTTGCCTGATTGGATGCCCTTCCCAAACAACCGCGGTTCGGAGCACTACCACTTGTGCCACGGCGGCGACATCCCCTACGACACCGAGGGTCTGAGTCCAGTGCTCTAACCACTGGACTATTGCGGCATTCATATATATATATATATATATATATATATATATACTTGTATGTATATATATGTATATATATATATATATACTTGTATGTATAGATGACTTCGACCCCGATTTGCGGCCGGGGGTTCCTGATCCCTGGCTCGGCGTCCTGACCAGGGGCTTACCTGATCAGGACGAGCCTGTTATGACGGGTGTAGGGCAAAGCCCTCCCAGGGAATCCTGCACCCTGAGGTTACGTGGTGGGGGGGATGGCCCCCCAGGCCCCCACTCTTCCTCCTTGGGAGGCATGCCTGGTTGTGCCGAGGCGTCGCCCGACCGGAGCCCCACAAATGGGGTCAATCTGCGGCGAGCGTGCCGTGTAGCGGCCTGGAACATCCTCAGTCTCTCGGAGGAAGATCGACTGCCTTTGTTGTCGGGGGAGCTTGGGAGGCTGGGGATTGCCATTGCTGCTCTCTCTGAAGTGCGACGGCCTGGTTGTGGTGAGACCAGTAGTGGGGGTTATACCTACTACTGGTCTGGCTGTAGCAATGGTGCGCGCCTTAGGGGAGTCGCGGTGGCTGTCTCTGACTGCTTCCGTTCCTCAGTCAAGAAGGTTATCCCTGTTGACGAGCGTATTCTGCTTGTGAGAATGAAGCACACTTTGGTCTTCATATCTCTAATTGCAATTTACGCTCCTACTGAGGGAAGTGGGCTTGAAGAGAAAGAGATGTTCTATGCCAAACTTGACTCTATAGTGGACCAATGTCCCCGGAGGGACATCCTCATGGTCTTGGGGGACTTCAATGCAGTCACTGGCACTGACAGGGAAGGATACGAGCTATGCATCGGTCCCTATGGCTCTGGTACTAGGAACATCAATAGCTCATACCTCTTAGACTTCGCAAGATCTAGGAGGCTGAGGATTGCGGGCTCGTGGTACCAGAGACGAGATCTACACCGCTGGACTTGGTACTCCAATACTGAGATCGAGATCGACCGTATTCTCGTGGATACTCGCTGGAGGATCCTTCAGAACTGTAGAGTTTTTAGGAGTGCTGAGTTCTTTGCTACCGACCACAGACTTGTCGCAACACTAAGGCTCCGCCTCAGATCTAGACGCATCCCGAGATCTCACCAGCAGGTGTTCCATCTCGAGAGGCTCAAGAGTGAGGAGGTGGCTCAGGAGTATGCAGTGGCAGTCTCAAATCGGTTTGAAGTGCTTGGTACTCTACAGGACCCTGCTGAACTGTGGGATACCTTTAAGCGAGGAACTCTGTCAGCTGCCGAGGAGTGCCTTGGTGTCCGACCTCGGCGAAAGAGGTGAGTTGTCTCAGACGAGACACTGAACACTATAGAGATGAGTCGTGCTGCCAGACTGGATGGGAACCATGTCTTGCACAGGGAGCTGTCTCGCTCTGCTAGGGCCTCTTTGAGAGTGGACCAAGAGAGGTACTTTAGGGGCATCGTGGAAGAGTTGGAAGGTCATTTTGCCCAAAATGACCTTCGGCCTGCTTTCCAAGCTCTGAGGGAACTCCGATCAAAGTCCATCTCTCAATCGGGCTCAGTGAGAGCAGAGGATGGTCGCATTGTGTCAGAGCCTGATGAGTATAGGGCCCACTGGGCTGAGTACTTTGAGCAACTGTATAGGGTAGATCCCCCGTTTTCACAACTACCGTTGGCTGGCACACAGCCACTAGTGGCTGATCCACCAATCAGTGAGGCACCACCTTCCATCGAAGAGGTGAGAAGGGCAGTGTCTAAGCTGAAAAGTGGAAAGGCTGCTGGTGTCTGTGGGATTGCTGCAGAGTTGTTGAAGGCGGGTGGAGAAGCCATGATCTGTGGTTTGCATGCAGTCCTGTCTGCCGTTTGGGAGACTGGTACCATTCCCCCTGACTGGGAAAGGGGCTTGGTCATCCATTACATTGCTCAGCGTACCAGGCAAGGTCCTCGCTCATCTGTTTCTGGCACGAGTGCGCGACCACCTATTACGAGCACAGAGACCTGAGCAGTCTGGTTTTACACCCAAGAAGTCAACTATAAACCGTGTCTTAGCACTTCGTGTCCTTGTGGAACGCCGACTTGAGTTTCAACAGGGTATGCTTGCAGCTTATGTTGATCTCAAGAAGGCTTTCGACTCAGTGCACCGGGAGAGTCTCTGGAGCCTACTGGGTCTCCGTGGGATCACCCCTGGAATTATTGGTTTGCTGTCTGGCCTGTATACAGATACTGAGAGTGCTGTCAAGTGTGGGAGGGACTCTCGGTCAACTGGACCAAGACCAAGGTTCAGGAATTTGGGGACTTTTTGGATGTCGATGTTCAGTCTGTGCATGCCTGTGGCGAGAACATTGAGGTCTTGGATAGCTTCACTTATCTTGGTAGTGTGCAGAGCGACGGAGGTTCCGACCGGGATGTCACTTGACGACTCGGACTGGCCTACGGCGTTATGGACTCACTCAATAGGAGTATTTGGCGCTGTCGGTATTTGACTAGGAGAACTAAGATCAGGCTCTTCAGAGCACTGGTGATCCCGGTCTTACTCTACGGGTGTGAGACCTGGACACTGAACAGTGCTCTGAAAGTCCGTCTTAACTCCTTCGGTACTAAGTGTCTTCGCAGAATCATAGGGTATACCTGGAGGGACCATGTGTCCAATCAGAGGATACTCTATGAGACTGATTCAAGACCTATTACCAGTCTGATACGAGAGCGCCAACTTCAGCTCTATGGACATGTGGCTCGTTTCCCTGAGGAAGATCCGGCTCATAGGGTCATCTCCGAGAGGGTTGACCCAGGCTGGAGAAGACCAAGGGGAAGGCCACGGAACTCATGACTGAAGCAAGTCGATCAGATCTGCCAAGATGTACTGGGAGTGGGAAGGAATGCTGCATGGAGGCTCGCTCGGAGGGACCTCAGGAGATGGAGGCAAAGGTTGGGCGCGGCAAAGCGCAGCCATGCGTATGCCCCCTTATGATGATGATGATATGTGTGTGTGTGTGAATATATACATACATATATATATATATATATATATATATATATATACATATATATATATATATAATATACAGTGAGTCCCCAACTTAAGAACATAACGGGGACCGAGAGGCTGTTTGTAAGTTGATTTGTTTGTATGTCGAAATTCGGGTCTCCATTACCTTTTTTTCCCATTGTTTTAGAGTTTTGTTTACATTAAGAATACATGTAAATCCATCCCAATAAGTACGGCATACCTTATACAGTAACAGACTCCTGAACTATATTCGCGCCCGGGAAATTTGAAGTTTGCTAGCATCTTTCAAACATACACACACACACATACACACATATATGTGTGTGCATATATGAATACACACATACATGTATGTGTGTGTGTGTGTGTGTTTATATGTGTATATGTGTGTATACATGTTTGTGTATGTGTATATATGCGTGTATAAATATGTGTATATATATATATATATATGTATGTATGTATGTATATTTGTTTATATACACACACATATATATACATATATATATATATATATATATATATATATATATATATATATATATATATATATATATATGCGTACATATACATATATGTGTATAACAGGTGAACCAGGTTTTAAAAAAAGTAGGAAAAGTTTCTTCTTCATGGTCACGATCATCTTGTATATTTATATGTATATGTATGTGTGTGTGTGTTTGTGTGTGTGTGTGTGCGTGTGTGTGTGTGTGTGTGCGTGTGTGTGTGTGTGTCCGTGTGTGTGTGATTATGTGTATATTCGTGTGTATATATTTGTGTGTGTATATTTATCTGTGTGTATATATATGTATATACATATGTGTGTATATAGGCCTGTGTATAAAAGTAGATATAAAACTCATTGGAGTTGTCCTTCACGCTGGCATCTTCTCTCACTTCGCTTTAGATAAAGACAACTTGTGGGCAGAACGACTTTGTTCACTTGGACTTGGTATAAAGAAAAAAAGATAAAGTGAGAACCAGTTTGAACAGGTACCACAAAGTTTTTTTGTGCAAGATCAGTCTATGCAAAACAGATAATGGCATTTGGGTATATTCCCATTACTAATAAACCTGAAATATATATGCAAGACTCTCAGAGTATTCCTTCTGTACATACTGTCTGTGTATACATTTTAATACGAAATTGCTAGCAAGC